GCCGGCGGCGGGCGTCTCCCACTCCGCTCCCCAGCTCGGCCTCGCCCTGCGCTGGCCAGGCACTGCCTGTGCTGCCACGTGTGCCCAGGGGGTCGCCCGAAGGCACCTCTCCCTTTAGCACTGCCAGTGCTTGCCTCTCTGGACCCCACCGCCAAGCCGGGCACCCCTAATGACCTTCGGGGCCCGGCGGCTGTTGCACGGCCCGTCTGCGGGAGGGCAGGGTCCTGCGCTTCGCCGCTGCGCTTCGGGTGCGGGAGCCCCGCCCGGCACGCAGCAAGCTGCCCCCGGCTGCTGAGCGGCTGCTGGGTGAGCGCATGGTGAGCGAGGACCTGGGGATGAGCTCTCTTCTCCCTGCTGACAGCTGCTCCCGAGCCAGGGACTTCGCTTTATAGCAACACGCTGGGACTTGTGGCCACTGACCTGGGTCTCTCACCGGGGCCACTGTCCTTTCTGAGCCCCAGGGTGGACTGACCTGTATCAGGCGCCTCCGAGGTCTGAGTTCTGTGGGCATGTGTGGGTCCCGCATATCTCGGGCTAGAAGGCAGGTGGCTGCCTCCTTGCAGGTCCCCCCGGTACCACTGGCCCCAGGTGCCCTTCCCTGCCTCCGGGCTCCCAGCACCCGGCTTTGAAAGCCCTTCCCCTCCTGTGCTGGTGATGACCCACGCTTCAGACAGCCACATGGTCCAAACAGGACTTTGTCCCATGGGCAGATCCCCTCAGACAGTGCCCTGAATTTTACCCTAGAAACTGGAAGAGAAAGGGCATCTCTGTCGGGATGACTCCTCTCTGAGTGGACAGTTTTGGAAGCCACACGAGGACAGTCTCGCTCATCAAGGAGGGCCACCGATTCCACTGGCTTTAGTTTCCCAGGAAGGGTACTGCGATCACGGTGCCACCCTCTCTTAGGAGGGGTCAGGTCTCAGAAATGAAGGAAGGTCTTGGACCCTGGCAGACAATTCGCCATGGCTCGAATGTTTAGGTTTCTTTGGATTTTCTTACTTGGTTTTGCATTCTCCCCTAATTTTAGTTCTTTTGGAAAATCTCCGGCTGTCACCTGGAGGCACCGGGCTGTTTGAACCCAGGGGCATCGTGCGGGAAGGAGAGTGTCCCCCGGGGCAGGAAGGGACTCAGTGAGTCCCCGGAGGTGAGACTCGGACTCAGAACGAGCTGTACGCCCCGGCCCTGTCCACACGGTGTCTGTCTCTGCTCAAGCCCCGGGGACTCCGTGTCCGGTGTCAGCACGGAGACAGTGCCACTGGCCTTGCGGAAGGAAACCCGCCCAGCTGCCGCCCTGCCCGCCCCTGCCCAGCGCGCCGCGGGGCTGTCCCAGAAACCCCGCTCCTCCAGCTCAGGCTGCGGTCTACGGAGAGCCGAGCCCGGCGACGGTGAGGACTTTTCCTTTCTTGCGAGAAGCCTACCCTGCTGAGCCGGAGACTAGTCATGTTTCGATCACAGCGTGCTCTCAGTCACTTGTGCCAAGGCCGCCCTCCTGGATGGCGTCGCGATGCTGTGCCCCTGGCACCCCGCGTAGGCCTGGCTCCCAGCCGGGCTCAGTAAATGACGGCTGGGTGAGGAGTGGGGGGCAGGAGACACGCACGGTGGGAGAAATGAACGAACCTCTTTCTTCCTGGACAAACGTGCACAGTATCCCCCAGAGATGACATACGTGGAAAGCTCGGCTTCTGTCTCCTCTGCGCGAGGTGTTGACAGGAAGGGGCACCGCGGGCTCTGACCATGGCCCTGCCCTCCACAGCCCCCTGCCCGGCTCGGCGAGGGGTTAGGCCAACAGAGCCTTGGGCTTGAGTCCGTATTTCTGCGAACTATCAAACTTTTGGAAATAATGGCAGCAATTTGGGAAATGTAGAGCACAGTGTATATACACAGTAGGTTCTTCCTGTCTGTCTGTCTATCATCTATCATCTGTCTATCAACTATCTATCTATCTATCTATCTATCTATCTATCTATCTATCTATCTATCTATCTATCTATCATCTATCTATCTATCTATCTATCATCTATCTCTATCATCTGCCTCCCTACCTCTCTAGCTAGCGACGTTGGTCTCTAACCTTGTCTCGGATCACTTGTCAGCCGCCCAATGTTCCCCATGGTTTCTTCCTTCCTGAGAACACATCCAGCGAAAGGCCTGGTAACCCAACAGCCATCTGAAGGACCTCAGCTAAGCTGCCTGTTGGTGGGCACTGCTCAGATGCCAGTTTAGAGCAGAAAGGGTCTTGTGCTGAGTGGCAGGAGCCCGGCTGCATCCCCAGTGGCTGACCGTGGGCAAGTCACTTCCTCCCTGCAGGTGCCAGTCTCCCCAGCACTAAGCAAGGGGTTCTGCCCCAGTGTCCCTCCTTCGCCAACCTCCTAAGCCATCCGTCTGGGACCCGTTTGCTCTCCCCAGGGCCTGGGTCACTGCCACAGGGCAGCAGCAGGGGTGGTCTCAAAGCTGGCGGCAAGCAGCCGCGAGGGCATGAAGGATGAGTGGCAAGGACCCAAAGCGTGGTTCTCCTAAGACGAGAAGTCCCGCTTCAGGGGCACCGCCAAGCTTTCCAGGTCCCGGGTGGCCTCTCGGAAGCCCCAGAGCTTCCGGAAATCACCGAGCTTGTGCTGAGGATTCTCCTTAGGCCTGAGAATGGCGCAGGCAGGAGACAAGGATGGGGGACCACTGCCGTCCTCACCTGTTTACAAAAAAACGGGGTTTCTCCCACCCAAGGGCTGTCCTTAGGCCTCTGGGACCTCACCAAGCTGTTCGCTACCCAAGGGCTATCCTTAGGCCTCTGGGACCTCACAAAGCTGCTCGCTACAAAGGACATTTAAGCCAAGCTGGAGGAGTAGTGATTTTGATGAGACAGTCAAGAGCCCCGGCCACGCCCGTAGCTGGCGCCCAGTGTGGGCTGTGGCTCTGATATCACTGGGGGCCCCTGGCCAGCCCGCCCGGCCCCGTACAGGCCCCCGGGAGTCCTCGATCAGTCCTCAGCCTCGCCTCTCTGGCGGGCTGAACGCGGGCTGAGATTAAGCTCCGGGTGCAGCTCCTTCTGCCCCAAAGCCTCGGGGGCGCCCTGTAGTCTGGACCACGTTTCTCAGAGAGCCATTTCCTTGAAACAGTGTTTCCTCTCCTCCTGTTTTTACTATCTCGATGCTAGAAAAAAAATGGCACGTAACACATCCGGATACAAATGAACATTTCCACAAACATCTTGCAAAACAACATCAGAGAGCAGAGTACAACTGTCTGTCTGGAGAAACAGTGTCGTCCTCAGACGCCTGAGTCGCTTCCCAAAAACCCGCACAGCCAGCCAGGCCCGGGCGCAGCCGGCGCCAGGCCCCAGAGCAGTCTGCTTGGAAAATCAGTCAGTCACTGTGGTTAGGACATGTGGACACATATTTCAAAGCATGTAGTAACAAAGTGAGTATTTTTTTTGTTTTTTTTTTGGTTTTTTTTGCATTTGAACAACAACAGAAATAAAATCCCAAAGCAAATAAAGTTTGAAATGGAATGTAAAATCAAGGTCCTTTGGGACCTTGCTAGAGTGACCATGTCTCTCCAGGAAGTGGTGCCAAATGCCCTCCCCAAGTAGTTTGGGGGTGAAGGTGGCCGGGATGCAGGCGACCAAAGGTCACGGCTGTGAGGCAGCACCCAAGCTAGTTGCCTTTTGACCCCTCGAGGTGCTTTTAGATTGAAACTACGTAAAAGTGCAGTTTTGGAATTTTGAAAGGGCTCAGATAATCTTCTTAACTTTGAATTAAAAAAAAAACAAATAAAATTTTATTTTTAGCACTTTCTTTTCAAAGTTCACGGTGCCTCCAGGCCAGGCAGAACGGAGGGCTCCCTCTCGGTCAAAGCAGCCACACACTGGGTGCCAGCCACGCTCCGGGGTGGGAGTGAAGGGGCACCGCCAGCATCCAATTCCCCGCTCCCTGGCACAGGGTCTGGATTGGATGGCTGGAGTGGGAGATGTATAAAAATGGCCATGCGGGGAAAAAGGAAAAGCAGGCATTTTCTGTCCCCACGGATCAACTTAACGGACATGGCAGAGAACGTAAGTCGTGAGAGGACGTGGATCACGTGTGTTACGAGCGGCACCTGCATGACCCCATTCGGAGAGATGCTCCAAACTACCGAGGACATTTGGGGCCTGGAACATGGTCACTCTAGTCTCATCAGCAAATAAACATGGATGCAACTTTGCAATGAAAAATAAAAAAATGTCACCACAATAGCCGTCGAGCTGGAATGACAGAAACGAAGGACGGAGGTCTACACAGCTACTTAGCTCTTGACTTCAGGTTTTAAAAATTCAGAGTTAACAAAGGAAAATCCTTCGAATTCTGACTGGTCAATATTCCTGATGACTTCCTGGTCGGGAGGTGTTAGGACTGGTGGATGGCGGGTGAAAAACCGGTCGAAGTTTTCAGCATTTCGCCCACACTATGAGAGGGGAGAAAAGAACTTGAGGTGGGTGGAAACAAAACAAAACAGGAAAAACAGAGCTGGGTGTGGTTTCCTCCATCCCTTCCCTTTCGCCGCCTCAGAGCGGCTGCTTCAGTGACCGGAAATGAGAGCAACGTCAAATGCCAAGTTCTCCTGACCTCTGGTAATGCCCTCGGGCTCCCGACCTTCAGTTTCTGTAGCTCGTGAGCTGCCCGGGGTCCCGGGCAGTCAGGAGCTGTGGGCAGAAGCGTGAGATGGTGGGCGGGTGGCACGTGGCACGTGGCACGTGCCCGGCCCCGACTCGGCCAGGCCCTCTGCCGGAAGAGGTGAGCTACGGCACCGGAGATGTTTCATGTAGCAAACGATGCAAAGTAATGACCCGCTTACCGCACCTGGGAGATTCACTGTTTAGCAAATAACGAGTCCCTCAAAGTGCTGCCCGTGGCTCCCCATCAGGAACGACTGGCGCTTGCTAGCTCAGCGGATACGGGTTTGCCAACTGCAGTCCCTGGAGAAAGATCCCAAGTGCTGGGCGTGGTGCCTACAACGCCTGGGCCCCCGGGCCTGCGCGGCTGGGCGAGGTGCTGGCCTCCAATTACGAGGTGCGGAAGGCGAGCCCCCACTCTCTCCACACGGGGAGGAAGGTCCTGGATGGCACACAAACCAGAGCTCTCCCCGTTTCTCCCCGCCCCGGGGTCCTTGTACGTGAAAAGGTCCCGGTCTGAGGCAGTTACGACACGCGTGTGTGCATGTGCCATGTGTACACTCGAGCGTGAGCACACACGGGCACGTGCTGGTTCCCACCTCACGAGACGGACAAGTCACCAAGTCAGTGCCCGCTGCTCTCCGGCAGCAAAGCCCGTCTGCAGCCCCGGGCCTGCGGGAGGCAGCCGACAGCTAACACGGACCACGCCAGGGGCCCCGGGCTCTCTTCACACGCACTGTCCTAGTTATTCCCCCAACGACCCCACGAGAGGGTTTACTGTCATCCTACGGGACAGATGAGGAAACTGAGGCCAGAAGTCTGGGTCGTCTGCTCAAGGCCACGCAGCTAACGAGCAGAGCCCGGCGTGGGCCAGGCCTGCCGGGCGCCGGAGCCCGAGCTCCCAGGGACGGCTGGCAGGTGGGTGAGTTACTGAGCAGGGGGCGCGGGGGGCAGGGAGGCGAGGGGGGGCGCTGAGGTCTCTGTTTGAATGAGACACAGGAAGTGGGGACGTTCAGAAGGAGGGTGCCGTCCGTTTGGGACCAGCTGCCCGTGGGCACCGGTGAGATTCTAGGGGACGACCTGAGGGAGTGAGCAGCACAGGCTCCGGACCTCAGGAGAGCGGTCGGCGAAAATTTAAAAGATGAAATATGGAGGGGGCGAGAGAGACAGTAATAACAGGAATCAAAACCCTGAGCAGTTGCCAGGCCGCCGACACCTGGCGCCCGCTGGGTGTTTCGCACACGGTACCTTTTAATCCACGTAACCACCCTGCCAGGGAGGTGTCTGGCTCGCGTGGGCCCAGGGGAAGAACTGCCCGAAACTTAGAGGGTAAGAGCGGGACCAGGAGAACATCGGACAAGCTGGGGACCGAGAGGAATGAAGAAAGGGCACTGCGGCCGCAGAAGTCTCTCCAAGAGGCAGGGGGAGGCCCCGGAATGGCCCTGCGCTGGCAACAGGGAGGAGCCGCTGAGAGGGCGCCAGCCGCGGCCCACTGGGCTGGCAAAGGGGGGAAGCCGAGGAAGCGAGGGAGAGCCAGCCCCCCTTGCAAGCTCAGAGTCACGGGGGCAGAGGCCCGGGGTGCGTGCGCAGGGGACCGCTCTCAGGCGGCCTCGGCCCCGGCCCTGGCTGGGTTTGGGAAGAGGAAGCCCGTGCAGACACGGGTTCGAATCCGGGCATCGGCGCTGCTGGCCGTGAGACTCCAGGTACGTTCTTTAGAGTCTCTTTTGTGAACCAGGACAACTCTCATCCTCTCACGGGGGTGTGAGGACCGCGGGAGACAACGCCCGTGCCTCGTACAGTGCCGGGTACCCAGGCGCGTGCTCGACGCATCCCAGCCACGAGCCTCCCCGAGTCCCCACTTTCTTGTCCCCACCACAAATCCCTCGACGGCACATGCTTCCTACACCGGGGCGTTCAGGATGTTTAGGTTTTTAATACTGAGGAAACAGCCTTGCATTTTTAAAAGGCCTGTGTCAGACGTAGAGAAATGTATTTGCTATTTCAAGCTAAATTGTTTCAGCTTTTCATATCTTGGCTTCAGGTCTCAGAAAATAAGTGACCCCTGCCCCAGCCACACGACCAAGACTTGGAGCGTAACAGACGGTCTGCTGGCCAGTGGGGGAGACGCCCACAAGAGGACGCCCTCAGGTGGGCGCCGGGTGGGCAGGACTGCTGTCCAGACGCTTTCTTTATTCATTTTCTCACTCAGGAAATGTTTATTCCCTACTGTGTGCCGACAGTAAATTATACAAAACCCATGCCTTGTGGATCTTACATTCTACTGGGGGAAAAGGCACCAAAACCAAGTAAAAATGTAACTGTGAATGTAAATGTACGTTCCAATGCTGGAAAGAGGTGACACGGAAAATCAAGCTGGGCCTAGGAGCGAAGACAATGCCATTTTCGACACAGCAGTCAGCTCCAGGACGTGAGCTGCGCGAGCCCCCGGGAGGCGGGGAGGCACCTGCACGTCTGGAGGAAAGCATCCCAGGCAGAAGGAACTGCAGGTGCAAAGGCCCTGAGGCAGGAGTTCACATGGCGTAGTCACCACGCCGCAACTCGGCCAGCGTGGCCACAGTGGCCCAGGCAGAGCGGGGTCGGAGAGGGCGTCACGGACCCTGCTGGCCACGTGAGGACAGGGTTTTCTCGCTGCTAGAGAATGCCGAGCGCTGTGTGGCACGTACTGACTCATGCTTCAGCAGGCCCACGGGGGCTGAGCACAGAGCAGACTGATGGGTGGGGCAGCGAGGCGGTCGAGGGCGGTGCTGCAACAATGCGGCAAGAGATGCGGGTGGCTGGGGAAGGGGGCGCTGGGGTGGGGGATGCACTGGGAATGGGCGTTCACGAGGTCTGCTGACGGGTCGGATGCGGGGTGTGAGAGGAAGCGAGGACCGGTCAGTGGCCCCAAGGCTTTTGGCCTGAGCTACTTGGTGAGTGGGGCACAGGAGGGAGGGCTGGAGAGTATTGGGGGGGGCTGAGCATCGGTTTCATTTACGGTGACGTCTGAGAGTCCAGTGGAGAAGTGACGGACCGGGCGGGAGCCCGGCGGCCGCGAGGGGACTGCAGCGGAGAGGGGCCACACCGAGGGCAGGGGCTCCGGGAGGCAGGAGGCAGCTGCCGCGGTCCACAGGAGAGACGGACGGAGAGGCTGGGAAGGGGTGGGGCGGAGGGGCGCAGATGCCAGGGCAGGACGCAGGGCCGGCGGCAAGTACACGCAGGCAGGCCTGCAGGCGGTTCTCTCTGGCCTGGGTGTTGGGACCCGACCAGCCAGTCTAGGAGCACGTTAACGAGACAGAGTCTCCAGGGGCCATTTTTCTCTAAAACCCATCAATTTCCCATCGACAGCAGAAGCGGCTGCTTTGCGGGGCCTCCCCAGAGGCTGTAACGGGAAACGGAAAACAGCGCCCCCCCCNNNNCCCCAGAACAACACCTTCTCAGCCGGCGGCGGGGGCAGGGGCACGCTGGGCCGCCACCGGGCAGCGTGCTGTCCCGGCTCAGGCAACCCACAGCCTCCCGCGTGTTGCCGTGTTTTCCAAAGGGCGCCGTGGCTGCCCGTCGGCCGCAGGAGCGCTCCCG